ACCCCACCCCACCCCACCCCACCCCACAGCCCGTAAACACTCGGAGCAGCACCGGAAAAGCAGGGCACCAGCGCACCACCGAGGTTCAGTTGTCCTATTCACAGGGGGGTGGGGGATGCAGGGTCCAGCCCAGATGTTCAGGATTCAGATATGGGTAGAGAGGGGAAAGTGGGTTTTCCGGGGTGTGGCGAATTTTCACCAGAATTGGGTCCACAGATGCTGCCGTTCTGTTCCTCAAGAGGTTGCTGGGACACGGCTTAGGCAGGAGCGGGGACAAGGGTAGGTTGGGAGACCCCCGGGCTTCAAGTCCTTGGGCCGACCGGGAGACAGGGCACTCCTCGGGGTTGTTCTTGACTCGAGGGTCCTCAGACCCAGACCTTTCCTGATGTTGGAACGGCCTGGGGCCCTGGCGAGGGCCGGTTTTGCCGCGGCTGCGGGGTGCGCCGGCGCCGATAGAGGGCTCGGCTGTAAGGCACGAGGCAGTCGGCCAGGCGGAGGCGGAGGCAGAGGCGGCGGTAGCTGGCCAGGGCAAGCACGAGCAGCGGCACGAGGAGCAGGAATCCGGTGACCAGCAGGGCTGTGAAGCCCGGGTCCCGCAGGTGCGCGGTGCAAGGGGGTGCCTGGGAGCGCAAGAACTGTGGGAGGAGAAGAGGCATGAGGCCCAAGCCAAACAGCCCAGGCCGGGAGAGGTTGTGGCCCACAGACCCCACCGCCACCGTCACCAGACACCCACACGCACACCGCGGGGCGCACACTCACCTGGGAGTGGCAGAGGAAGCCAAAGCCTAGCATGGTGACAGCGGGCAGCAGGATGGTCCCCAGCACCAGCGCCAGCAGGAGAAGATTGAAGGCAGCCACCAGCAGATTCTGGGCGGTGACCAGCACAGCGCAGGCCCAGCAGTCCAGGGGGTCCCGGGGCTCTGGGCCGCCGCCGGGAACCGGCCGCTGCGCCCCGGGGACATCCGCCATGGCCCGCCTGGCTCCCTCCCGCCTGGGCCACGGCCCTTATAGCCCTCTTTCCTGCCCCTCCCCCGGCCCAGCCTCTCCCCACCCCACCCCCCCCTTATCCTGGAATGCGGCTCCAGGATTAGGCACCCCCCCATAACGAGGAGCGACCGAGCTCTGGACATTCCACAGGCGCCTCCGGGGAGGGGCTCCCCTCCCCATCAATCACGGTCTCGCCGCCCTCTTCCCAGTGTTCTCCCTGCTTACCACCAGCACTTATCGAAAAGAGATTTTTTTAATTTTATTTTTAATAATATTCTCACACAAAAATCACCGAAAATAAGGGTAGGGTTGGGAAGACCCCTCTGCCCCTGGGGCAGAAAGACAGTGCAGTGCGAGGGGGCAGGACTGTAAACCCCCCACCCCTCCGCAGCCCCAGCGTGGAGGAGAAAAAAAACAAACGACAAAACGAAAATAAAGCCCCAGAGAAACTCATCCCGGGGTGTCCCTGCCCCAGTGAGGCCCTGGCCCTGGGCTGTTTCACGCTTAAAAAGAAAAGGGGGGTGGGTTGTAAGGGGAAGGTCCGTGTTTTTAAAATTGGCCGGGGCTGGGAAGGACGGGGCTCCTTTTCCTCATAGTTCTTTCTTTAAAACTTTAAAAATTTATTTTATTTATTTATTTATTTTTTTTTTACAAAATACCATTTCAGTTCCCACTTCTTCCCCTACAGTACAGGAGTCGCTCACCCTCAGGCGGGGTTGGGGTCGGGTCGGGAGTGGGGGACTGGTCCGAGAAAGTGCAGGACGTAGGGGAGGGGAGCGGGTTTGAGCACCATGAGAACCCGGCTGGAGCCGCGGGCGGGCGGACGGGCGGAGACGGACGGGCCGGGCCCGGACACACACTGGGGCGCAGAGGGGGTCCGGCGGCGGGCGGTCCCTGGAGGGGCGGGCGGGATGGCTTGGGGGTGCGGGAGGTCGGGTTTTCCCAAAAATGAATAAATAGAGGTGAGTGGGACTGTTATAAATTAAAAACCAAAACAAACAAAAAACCCAGAAAATACAAATCATAATCAAGTGAATAAACAAGAGACATGTACAGGGATCACAGCTAGCACTGGAAGTAAAAAAGGAGGTTCTGGGGGAGGGGTAAAGCCCATACAAAGAATCTCATTAAAAACCTCGGCTGCCGTAACGTCTATGTACATACACGAGCCGCGTGCATCTGCGCCGGGCGGGCGGCTGGCAGGCGTGAGGGAACCCGTATGTGACCCCCGCCGCCGCCGGAGCCTGGTCCTTGTGTCTGTTGCTAGAAAGGCCAAAGTCGGTGAGGGGAGGCGCTGCTGGGCGAGGGGCTACCAGCCCCCTTCCCCCGTCTCCCATTTTTTTTCCTTTTTTCCTCATATTTGTTTTTTTAAAAATTCTTTTTCTTAATAAATTAGGTGAGGGGAGCTGCCAATGGGGTGGAAGGGCTGGGCCCGACCCCCTTCCCGGCCAGAGGCGGGACCTAGGTCCAGCCCAGGCGTGTGCTGGTGGCCCCGCGGCGCCCTGCGGGCGGGCAGGCGGGCGGGGCGTCCGGCCTCATCGCGACGTGCTGGCCGGGGCCTGCAGGAGAGAGCAGGCGGAGCTCAGGATGCGCGATCGCCCACCCCCGGCCCGGCCCGCCCCGGCGCCCCCTCGGGTCCCCGCCCCGCCGGGCCCTCACCAGCGTGAAGGCGTCGTAGGCCTGCGCCAGCTCCTCCGTGCGATACTGCTCCAGCACCACCACGCCCTGCAGGCCTGCGCTGCGGCGCCGCGCACAGGCCTCGCAGTGCACCAGGTACGTGTTTCGGCTGCCGTTCTCACTCGTCACGAACAGGATGTTGAACACCTCCACCTGCGGCGGGGAGGAGGCAGCGGTCAAGGGGAGGGAGGGAGGGAGGCAGGCAGGCAGGGAGGCCAGAGGCGAGCGCCTCCCTCCGAGGAAGCGCGCGAGGGAGAGAGGGCGCACTCACGTCGCACTCGTTGCAGTAGTAGGCGGGCTCGTCCTTGACCCGGCCCTGGTAGGCGATTTTCTTCCCGGCCCGCACCAGGCTCTCCCGCTGCACCTGGCAGTGCTTCATGGACTGCAGGAGGCAGAACCTAAAGGCGGGGCGAGGTGGTGAGGCGGGGCGGGGCCTCCCCGCTTCGGGCCCGGGTCACAGCCCCCGACACATCCCCGTCACAGTTGAGGTTTTATGTGGTCTTTGTCTACTTGGACCACTGGAAAACAAAGCTCCTCTGGGCAGGGGCCTTGTCACCCGCCCAGCACAGCAGCTCTGCAAGGCACGCGGCAAAAGGCGGAGCGGTGGGGGAGGAGGGGTTGGAACAAGGAAGAACAAGGCGGGCCAGGTCACATGGAGATGGGCTCCCTCCCAAACAGGGCCCTCCCTCACTTGATCATCTTGAACAAGTCGGGGTCGCTGATTTTGACCGTGCGAGCCACGTTCCAGGACACGTGAATCATGGGCACGATGGATTTGACGTTCTTCACCTCGTTCCACTCGTATCGTTCCAGGGCCAGCTGGTACTGATAGGCTGCGGGCCAGAGAGGGTCATGAAAGGATTCCCCAACAGCCCGAGACACTTGGGCCCCCGCCCCTTCCCTCACGGCTGGCCTGGCGCCCTCCAAACCCGCCCCCCCCACCACGGGGCTCACTCCCCAGGGGCCCCAGCCCCTCACCGCTGAGTGGCTCACCCCACCACCGGCCCCGCCCCCTCACCGGTGAGGGGCCCCACGTTCCAGGCGATGTTGTTGCACCAGCCGGTGGCCTGCACCCAGTGCACGGTCCCCGCATTAATCCACACAAGGTCTCCGGGGCGCTGCACGAAGCGGTACACAGGGATGTTGGAAGCATAGAGGTCATCCAGGATTGGCCACCAGGAACCCGTCAGGTAGTCCACGCCATGCCTGGAGGGTGGCCACAGGGTCAGATGGAAATCTGGGAATCCAGGGACGGGGCGTGGGGGGTCTATCTACCCGAGGAGGTGGGCGGAGGGCGGCGCGCACCGGTCGCAGAAAGCGCTGATGGTCTCCCAGTAGTGCTCGTGCACCGCGAACCACTCGCAGTCTCCTGGGCCAATGTTGATGTTGACCGAGCAGAAGTTGTTGTTCTCTTGATGGCCTGAAGGGGGCAACAGAGAACTGCACGGTTGGTCGGAGCAGGGCTTGTCGCGCACTCATTGGTTGACGGAGGAGCGCTGGCGGCAGCCCCGCCCCCCGCGCTCCGCGCGCGCCGCATTCCGCAGCCCCGTGAAGAACGCACCTGGCGTTCGGCTGCCTGGGACCTTCATGTACAGCTGCACTGTGTTCATGCCCAGGATGGTGTGGCCCACGTGGCTCAGCATGTTGCCCGTGGAGGTTACCCGCATGAAGGCGGGCAGCTTCAGCAGCTCCTGCAGCTGGGGCTTCCACCTGCCGTGGCGAGGGAGGCAACAGAAGTGAGCAGCTACCCCGACTCTGCTGACCCATCAGCACTCCCGCCCCAGCTTGCTGGCCTCAGCCCCACTGACCGCTTGGCATCGGACAGGTCGATGTTGGTGCCAAACTTGATGATGTGATGGTTCTTCGGATCCGGTGCGCTGCTGCGAGGGCAAAGAGCACGGGTTGGTGGGGAAGCGCAGGGAAAGGAAGGAGTCCTGAAGGGCAGAGGCAAAGCGTCCCTACCTAGGAGGGGTTCCCGTGGTGCTGTCCGGCTCCTCGGACTCCTCGTCCTCACTCTCCTTCTCCTCCTGCTTGGTCACAGGGGTAGGCAGGCCTGGGTCAGCGGCCTTCCAGGAGCCCTCCCACCGCAGCTGGGGCTCCAAGTCCCCTGATTCCACACCCCCTACCTCTGCCCGTTCGCGCCTCTCACCTGCAGGGACTCTTGGAAGGATGAGGCCTGGTACTGTGCGTACTTGGCAATGGTGGTGTGGGAACGGGAGCTCTCGCAGGGCCAAATCTGTCGCGTGCCTGTCAGGTCCCAGTTCTCATCTGAGGGCTGCTGCACCTGGGTGCGCACCTCCACCGTGTGCTCACCACTGGCCTCCACCAGCGTCTTGGTGGAGAAGAGGCCCAAGTCTGCAAGGGAGGGCCGAGCAGAGTGTTGGGGCAGGGGCAGGGGCAGAGGGCGGGGAGCGAGGCCCCAACTCACCCTCTCCCTTCTTGCTCCCCAAGACTGACGCAGTGGACACAGGCTTCTCAGAGCTCAGCCAAGGAAGAACAGGCGAGAACCCCAGCCCCTCATGAAGCTGGGAGGGTTGGCCCTCCCAGGGCTTGGCCTTTACCTGCATCATAACCAACCCCCTTTCTCCCACTGATGCTCTGAGTCCCAGACCCTCCCCCAGAGTCCTCAGGTGTCCATGAGGCCACATGTGCAAAGCACCTGGCACACAATAGGTGCTCAATGAATAACAGTTTAAGTTTTCATTGGATCCAATGAAAGATTTCATCAAGTAAAAGCCCAGACCGTGCTTCAGTAACATTGGAGGAAAGGGAGGATATGTGAGTAAGAGAAGGCTACAAGCAAACAGAGGAAACAAGGTTAATTTTTACAGGAAACAGGATTAATTTTTATAACTCAGCATGGTTTCCTTTTACTTTGGAAGGTGTTTGAAATTGTGCACAATAAAAGGTTGAAAAAGAGAAAGCCCCAAACCGTGAGTCTCCTTGGATTTTACACAACCTTAATCACCAAGAAAACCAGAAGTGACTCTAACCAGATCCCGAGATACATCCCCTTCCCACCTGCCTACTGCTGGGGACAGACAGATGGGGGGAGGAAAGCCTGAGGTCAGCTGACCCATCACTCAGAGCACTCTTCAAATATGGCTTACACGTGACTGAGGAGAGCTCACTACAGCTGTGGCCCCGTGTCTTCCAGAGCGGGGGCTCTCCGAGGGCCCCAAAGCCCCAGATCCTTGCAGCCCTCCCCACGCCTTTCTGCCTCCACACTCACTGAGCCGCAGGGAGCCTGCCAGGCCCCGGATCACGGTGATGGGATTTCGAGGGTCTGTACAGAACTGCAGCAGCACGGGCGAGAAGGCATCCCGTTTACTCTCCAGCTGCGGGACAACCAGGAGACAGGGCTGAGGTCAGAGCCCCGTCCCAGGCTCAGGGCCCCCCAACAGTCCCAACACTGTCCTAGAACCCTCAGGCAGGGGAGGTTCTGAACACGCAGGGCACTCATACATAGATGCTGGGTGTGGGCGGGTTCAGTTTTTCCCGGGGCAGCTTCTCCTCCGAGTTGATCTTCGGTTTCACAGACTGGGCAGGGGAAAGGTAGGACTCTCGAAACTTCCCTTTCACCTTGGCATTC